CATCCTTCTTTAGAGAACTCTAGAAATGTTTTTCACGCTGTGTTCCTGTCTTAGCCGGTAACCTTCCACAATGAACTATATTATACATGTACGTAAAAAAGAATGTGAGGTTTGAGTGAACGTGCCTCATATGAAAATCAAAATGGAGTATGATGGTGCAAATGAATTCAAATATATAAATAATCAAAAAGTAACAGAGAACACTCTCCATTGCAAAGAAAATAAAAATGGAATATATGGGAGTTTAAATAAAGAACTCTAAAATATAAGAGAACTTTGGGAATATGAAGATTCAAAGGATAAAAATATATCTTCTAGTACCAGGAAAATACTAGGCACAAAGCACATGTTATGTGAGAAATATATTATTATGTTAATAAATATAAAGATAAAGGAGAAAAAAGTATATTATTATCACAACCTATTGATAAAATATTCAGCTTGGGGAGATGGAAACATTCTAAACTTGATTGTAACTAATATTACCACAAAACACATTAAAGAATATTTAACTGAATTAAAAATAGAAATTGACATGTGTCATGAGATATTTTTATATGATTCTCTTAATACTGATAGAGCAGATAAATTAACAGTAAAATTATGTAAGACTTGAAACATTCATGCAAACACTGGCTATTATATATTGGTATTACATATAATATTGATAACATAATTATTAATATTATTAATATATATGGTATGGTTTTTATGTATTTATGTACAAACTATGTTAACAATGAAAGGCTATAGATAACTGTCTTTTATAAACTGACCTATAGTAAGACATAAAAAGTACTTTTTTTTTACTTGTTTATTTTTTTAACTTTTTTTTATTTCTTACATACATGACAGTAGGGGAATGCATTACAATCATAATTATCCATTCACAACACCATTTTTTGTAACACTGTATATAAAGTCTGTTCACTCCAAATTATGCCATTATACATGAGCTTTATTATTATTATTATTATTATTATTATTAATTGCAATATGATTCTTAATACACCATTATACCACAATTTATCATATCTCTGACTGTATATAAGGTATGTTGACACCAAATTCAGAGCATTCTTAGATAGTATTATCTTAATTTGATGACATTAAATTACAGTGGACTTCACAAAGCATTTTAGCAATGCTACTTTAATTGAAAAGACTAACACTGTTGTGATTATATGACACAATGCTCTTCAAAAGCAAAGTAAGCACCCAATAAAGTACTTCAGAGTTATGCTTCATGATATGCTTTACAACTTGCATTTTAAAATCAAGTGGAGAGAGCACTAGTGATCATGGCATTAAATATTAACAATGTGAGCAAAGAGAATAATGGTGTTCTATATAATATTCATATCCCTACAAATTTCCTGAAAGCTTGAAATTATTTCCAGATAAAAAGTTTTAAAAGGATGAAAGTAACATAATTTCACAAGAACAAACAATGGAGAGAATTCAGGACGCTAAAAGAAATATCAGTCATGCACACCTATTAGAAGGAATGAAACTTTGGAAATTATGAGTAAGAGTAGAAAAATGAAATTTCTTTTAATTTCTTTAAACAACAATTAGAAACAATTAAAATAGAAGTTCTGAGAAAGAACCACTTATTAAACAAAGTAATATTTTAAGAAAGTTTTATTTTAAAAAAGTTTCTTCAATTTAGCATTTAATCAAATAGCTTATATGGAAAGAGATTTAGGAAAGAATTTCATTAAATATTGGAGTGCACCTAGAAGAATCCACAGTTAATTATAACAGTAGGCTATAGTATAGTAGAGCCCTTCCATAAAAAGTGCTACATTATTTCTATAATTCTATACTGTTTTGAAGGACAACACATAAAACCTGGTCTCTTTATTTCAGTGTAAAGGCAATGTACAATGTTTCTTTATGCCCTAAAATATGTGCTGAAGCACATATTTTGAATAGAATAAAATATATCCCTATTGTAAAAAATCAAAAGTTTCTTATTCATATTCCCCTTAATTCCAATACAAAGCAAAATCTAATAAAATATATCAATAATACCTACCATTGCTTTATCTATTATGATTTGTATTTTCAGTGTTGTTTTCAATGTTATCTCTGAAATTTTCTGTGAAATAGAGGACAAGAATGAAATAAAACATTTTAAAAATTCTTACATGTAATTAGCATATGCTATAGACATGTATATATGTGTATTCTGTACATTCACAGAAACACATTAGATACAAAACACATTAGATACGTGGATATAGATGTGTTTATGAAAT